CTCTTGGATTATTACATTTCCATTATATCCTATCATGAAAAAAACTATATTCTACTGGTCTGCAGCAGTAGTTGGAGTTCTCTACAAGACATCCTTTAGGTTGGTAAACAACATTTTACTAAAGTTAAAGGGTACAAGATTAAATTGTTAGCCAGGTGCTATAGCTCTTGCCTATAATCCTAGTCACTCAGGAGGCTGAGATCTGAGTATTAAGGTTTTTGGTTTTTTTTCCCCCCCCCGCAAGTGGTTTATAGAAATTTATTTAAGTAAAAATCAATGGCATGGTTATTATTTTCTAACTTAGATCATCCATCCAGACAACCATCTTACCTGCAATAAAAAACATTATTTTTTTTTTTTTATGTTTGGCCAGTCCTGGGGCTGGAACTCTGGGCCTAGGGGGCTGTCCCTGAGCTTTTGTTCAAAGCTAACACTCTACCACCTAAGCCACAGCACCACTTATAGTTTTTTTGTGATTTATTGGAGATAAGAGTCTTACAGACTTTCCTGCCTGAACTGGCTTCGAACTACAATCCTTAGATCTCAGCCTCCTGAGTAGCTAGGATTACAAACATGAGTCACCAGCACCCAGCCCTGAGAAACTTGTATCTCCAACTAACCAGCAAAAAACTGGAGTGGAGGTATAGCTCAAGTGGTAGAACACCAGCTCTGAGCAAAAAAGCCAAGTGAAAATGTAAGTCCATAGTTCAAGCCAGCACCAAAAATACATACATGCATACATATACAAAGAACAAATTTTCTCTACACAGATCATTATGTCAAGCATTACATTCCCCTAGCTCCTTAACTATTCACTTACCTCCAAAGGTATGTGGGCGGATGGTTTCTTCTTCAGCACCTCACATTTCCTCTTCTTACAGATCTGATGGCTGTTCTTTCTGTTCATGCAGTAAGTACATTCCCCACAGTTGGTCTTCTGCTGGCAGGGCCCACAGACTCCACATGGCTTTCGTTTCTTCTTCTCCGACATTGGTGGCAACGTTGTACAGGAAGAAGATGAGGTATTGACAAGGGATGTTGGCATAGACATGCCTGTGGTGTGGACATCACCTAAGCTATTCACGTTGGCCTGAGAAGTACTTTTTTCCAATATGCTCAGACCAGTCTGAGAGAATTGACTAATATCCACGGGTGAATGGTAAAATCCACTTTCAGGGGTGAAGGTGAACCCCTGAGTGTTAGCTGGAAGAAGGCTTACAGAAACCTGCTTCTCATTTTCTACATTGCTTGCAGCTATGACTGGAGGTATAGAACTTGGCTCTGAGATTGATGATGATTGAGGAGTATGTCCCGAGTCCAAAGACAAAATCGGCATAGCACCCTGGACATCAAGTCCATATAAGACAGTGCCCTGGGACTCGGACCAGTTTGAGGGAGCATTGTAGGTAGCAATGGTGTTTATAGGAATAGGAAGGAAGGTAGGCAGGGCTGGGGCAGCACTCATACTCATATCAAGAGGCTCTTGTTGGTTTAGCATAGTACCAAAGATCTCTCCTTGGACTGAAATAGCACCAGGAATCTCTGGTGGGCCTGGAACCAAACCCAGGGCCTCACCATGTACTTGGTTAGCACCAGGAAATACCCATTGTGGCAGAGAACTACAGGTCTGTCCTAGGACAGGGGTGGAATCTGGAACTTCCTGTTGATCTGGGGTAGCTTTGAAGACCTCTTGAGGATCTGGTTTAGCACCAGTGGTTTCTGGCTCTGAGCCTGCCAAGAGGAATTTTATTAGAGCAGCGGGATACATAGACCCATCAAAAGATAAGCAGTTTCTAAGGTCCATTCCAGGTGTAATCCTATTAAAATTGGAGATGAGGGGGTGAACAGATGCACTTTTCGTGGGATCCAGATAAGAATCAGACAGCTTAAGAGATTCTACTCGTGTACCCAAGTCTTCTACCTGAATATTAGGGGTTCTCTGATGGGTCGGTTCAGGAGTCGTTCTTTGGGGCGAAGGAGCACACACAGTCTCCTGAGCAAATGTTCCAGGGTGATGGCTGACATCACTTGGTGTCTGTTCGGAGAAGAGTCTGTCACCATCATGATTTCCTTCCAAAGATTCAGAAAGGATCTCTGCTGCAGGCCTACTATTCATGGGAAGATTGATTTGGGAATCTTCTATTCTTTGAGACCAAGACTGGGTTGCTTCTTGGCTTTCTTGGCTCTTGCCTTTAATTAGACATTCATTTTGGATACCAATTAGATTATCTACAGCAGAGACCATTAGGGGATCTTGGTTTGGGACTGGATCATTTTCTGAGTGCATTACTTCCATGTCATTGAGTACCTTATAGTCACACTCACGCTGCTTTTCTGAAGTCTTTGAAGGTGGGACTTTCTTAGGTTTGCTAATAACCACCGGGGGTTGGGAGAGTCGCCTGCTAAGAGAGGTACTTCGGAGAGCCATTGTAAACCCATTGCAAGTTAAGGACTCTGGGTTCTGAAAAAGAACCTCGGTCCTCTCAGAATTCATGCGAGCTGCCCCAGATCTGGTCAGAAGGCTTCTGACTGGCACAAGTGGTTTGAGTTCTGTCTTTTTCTTAACATCTCGATCTTGAATTAATTGCTTTAATTTTCCGGGGGTCACAGTCTTCACTGAGGCTACATTCTTGTTTGCTGGCTTGGATGTCTTCTTCCCTTGGTTGTTTTTCTTCTTGTTTAGATCTTCCTTCCTGACTAATCTGGAAGGCCTTGCATGGCGGGATCGAGACATAGCTACAGAGCAGGAAGAAATAAAAGGGCACAAGAAACAGAGTCATTGGTCCTTTGGAAAGTCTTACTTCTGAGGAGAATCTGGATGTATGGCCAAGCTCATTTATATAAGTTGTTGATCTGAAATAATAAAGAAAAGAAAAATACTGAAAGTGAATATTTTTCTTATGTACTCTTTAATATGAAATACAATATTGGGGCTGGGAATGTGGCATAGTGGTAGAATGCTTATCTAGCATGCATGAAGCCCTGGGTCCGATTCCTCAGTACCACATAAACAAAAGAAGCCTCATATGGTGCTGTGGCAC